CGGGATATATGACACCTCGTCGATAAGACACCCGAAGAAATAAAAAATTATAAATGGATCACTATAACCTAACGAGAAATGGGCCAACACTCCAACCAGGATCGATAAGACGAGTAGACAAATTGCAATAGAAATCCAAGTATATTTATAAAACGGGGCAAGATAAATGCTGAAAGTAATTCGGGAATCGGTATGACAACTTAGGAACGAAAGACCTTCGTATTGTACGAGCTTAAACGATTTCATACTTGCCAGGTTTTTATTAAGTTCGTTGTTCAACACGGCAAATGATCCAATCATGGAGAACTCTTGGAGAAAACATATTTCGTGATATCGATCAAAACAATATTTACCAACGGTTCCAAGTGAAACGTTAAATAACGATCGGTTTGCAGATGACAATGCCAAATTAAAAATGTATATAGAAATTCGAGCCTTTCGAGGCAATATTTCCTCAGAAATTTCCGCCTTCCAATTTCCAGGATCCAATCGTGGTGAAACTATTTTCATAAATGACTCGGCTATCTCAGATAACGATTGTTTGGCGGCGCACTTAAAATTTGAAATCAATGGTATAACTCCTTCCTTGTAATTGTAGCAGATCGAGTAACCAGAACATGTTGATGATTGATTGGACAAAAATAAAAGTCCAATGTTTGGAATAGTATGAAAGGAACCGGGTCTGTTGTAAATGGGAAAATTACTCTCTAAAATTTCCGCCATATCGAATTGAGTGACGACAAGAAAGAAAAAATTATCTGGAAAGACTCGAAAATTTCGGGTATCAAAAAGATATCTCTCGCCGAACATGGTTAACCAGTTGCCTAGCAACTTGCTAAAGACTGGATTGAATGACGGAATGATATTTAAATACAAAATAGTGTGCTGACATGTCCACTCTCGATCTTTGAAAATATTTAGTCGAAAATTACTATGAAATATTTCGTTTTGAGATAACACATATTTTGATCCTTTCGTTAAAGTCACTGGTGTTCCAAATGTTTCTGAAAGGTTTTCAGTGAAAATAGTGGAAAATACGATATGTTGACGACAGTCGGAGCCAGTCGACATTCCCAATAGCAGGTTGTGCAGCCTAGGCACGTCCTTAGTACCAAAATTGTAGCCAAGGAGTGAAACGGAAGTCGCGAGAGTTAAGAAGGGATGAGTAACAATGACCATTTCAATTAACAAAATCACGGCCAATAAATTTCCTACGTACATAAATCTCGAACCGAAACTTGTTTTTATCGTAATATTTCTGATAGAAATGAAAAACAGGAAAATATTGGTTGTCTGCGATGAAAAGAAATTACGTTTACTGTGTATATTTACGAATTTTGCGTTGTAATTTTTGTAGCTAGAATTAAGGTTATGCTCAGAAAATCCAATTTATGTACATACGTATTTGTTATTAAGTAAATATGTATATAGATATAATTTATATCATATAAATTGTACCTTAATTATATATTGTATCATAAATTCATAGCGTTCTGTCGGAATATTTGTTTTGTGGAGTTTTATAATACGATAATTTATGTACGAGTCTGTAAGTAAGTAAAAGCATTAACAAACATAGGAACTGTTTAATTTTGCCTTTGTTGAATGACTAAGGATTGAAACCCTACCATAGTCTGAAATATATTAATTTTACTCGAAGTGTATAGTTTAGTGTTTAGTGTATTATTTTACCATGGGAATCATTATGTTAGTATTTTTTCTTGGCCAATAAATATTTTAAGCCCTTAATATCTATAATACACCTTCTGCTAGCATGCTCTTTCCTCGTTGAACTTCTAATTTATGTTGTCCCACAGATAATCTAATAAAATATTAAAAATCATGTCCACTACTGATAACGCTCTCTCTAGACGATGACAAATGAGAGGCGGACAACAAGTGTACAAACAGGCACTAAACTAGGGGTAAACAGGCAGGTAAATTGGCCAGGTAGCCGGGGCCACGAGGCCCCGAGCTTACAATAGTTATGGTTAAGTTTTTTGCTCATCGATGTAATAATAAATGTTTTGTAGAAGACTAGGATATAATTTTTGTCTTATTAGTTTACTGGTTTCATAAGAGATTATATCTTGTTTGGCAATCTCGTCCTTTTTATTCACCTAAAAAGGCTATAAAAGGTCGAATAAAAGGGACATGTTAACCAAAGCTTATAAAAGGTCGAATATGGCTTATAAAAAGTCGAATTTTATGGTTATTCACCATAAAATGCAGATTTCTAGATAAGCATTCACGACAAACTTTAAAACTCTGAAACGACCTGAACTTCCAAAAATATGACTAACACGGGAAGTGCTTTCGATGTCAATGGTACTGACTCAGACTTATCATTAGTACACGCCGAACTTTTGAGGTTCGGTCACCGAACGGTACATGGTTGCGTTTTCGGTACGGTCGAATCGATTTTTGCAATAACTATAAAACCAGCGCTTAATTTACCTCGAAAAACATATTGCAGCACTTCAAACCGGAGGGATATCCCAAAACGACAATCTACATACGTTTATGCATTAGTATAAGGATGCCAAAAAGTGAAATTCAACAAAAAAATTAGTTCGCCTCTCGTCGTAGCCACTCAAAATAAATTGAAAACTATCAAAAAAATCTAAACCACTAACTATTCCACGTCCTTCAGTAGAGCTGCTCGTATAAACAGTTAAAATCTCTTAAAGTTTATCGGGTAGGATTAGAGTTCATAAATTGGGGATTACGGAAAAAATTGAACAAGGTCTCCCAAAATAAAGGTTTACATTAAAGTCCAAAAAATCGCAGTCCAAACATATTGTAAAAAACTTTCCGAGAGACATTCTAAGCGGCGATTAACATTGAGAAAGTTAGTCAAACCTACAAATGTCCTTTATTTGCAACCAATCGATAAGTTTTGATCCTTGTGCAAAAAAGGTACTCTAACCTTCGGTACTGGACGAAGAAGTTATAAAGATTCGAACGTTAATGTAGAAAAATCAGCAAGGACATTTCGTAAGCGAGTGAAAAATCACGAATCGGAGGGTTGCAATAAAAGATCCTAGAATCCTAGAATCTTTCCTAGAAGGTACCAGTTCTCGGCATCACCTAGAACTTGTAGTGCACAGGATTTGTTAAAAATAAAAAAGGAAGACAAAGAAACACCATCTAGCGGGTGGAGCGACCTGACGAGAGGTACAACTTATCCAGCTTATCCATGTAAATGGATATCAGTTTAACAAAAAACTGAATATAACTATAAATAATAAATCAAAATCAAAAATAACGATGGAATAATCAATAGAGCAACAAAAGCGTAAGTGGACAGGGCAAATAATTTTAGCAAAATCAAGTTGTAACCAAAATAGAGATCAGACCATAGAGGCTAATTACCCAAATCCATAATTCTCAATCGTGTCAATGAAAACCTCATAGGCACAATTAATATTAAACATGTTAATTGACTTAAAAGACAAAAACAAATTGATTCCGAAGAGGGTTCAATAATATCGACAGTCTTTGTAACAGTTTTTTAAAATTTATGGGGCTATGGACATACGAAACTTTAGAATTGTAACAAAAACTTGGCACACAAGTAGGACAGGCCCAGGTTTTTGTACGTAAGATATTAAAAAACGAGGAATCAGAAATTGTGATATTACATTGGAACATATGAAAGTAATTAAAACAAAAAACACCCACAAAATCTCACAGGATGGAGAAAGCGCGTAAATGTAAGATTTGTGGGCAAAGTTTTGCAAAATCGTCCCGTTTGGTCAGGCACGAAGTAAGTGGTTGATCAAAATAATTAACAATTCAGGTATTTTTAATGTACAATTCTGACATTGATTTTTCAATTTTATTTTGTTTAACATCAAGCAAAGCGATCAGGTATATTCTTTGCAATACTGGCATTTTAACACGTAGCAATTGGCCGTCGACGAGGCAAGTAACTATCCCATTGCATCAAAGATATTACTGGTAGACATGTTTGTAGATGATCTCATCAGTGGAGCAAGCAACGTGAAGCAAGCAATAATCATTCAACAACAATTAGTGGCACTCCTGGCGAAAGGAGGTATGCAAATTAGGAAATGGATGAGCTACGACGCCGCCGTTCTTCAGTCCATTCCCCCAGAACTCAGGGAAAGGAGTGACACGTTGGATTTGGACAACACTGCTTCATTTCCCACTCTCGGAATTGAATGGAAACCCTCATCGGACGTGTTTACTTTCTCCGTTCAACCCTCTCAACACACCATAATACTTGATAAATTTTGTTGGTATTGAATCCAGCCTGATTGAATCAATCAACAATATCATCAAAATCATTGATCCGCCAGCCGTGAAAATCACCACCGTCTTCCTTTCAAACCAATCACGCATACGCATGAGAAACAATTACCAACAATGACAAATTTTCTATCATTTGCTTTTCTTTCAACCGCCTCTACTATCAGGTCCAAATCAGTCATCGCTCTCAATTCTAGTTTTTGTTCAGCTAATCTAACGGATTCTGGATATTCTTGTATTTTTAATTCCCGGTGTTTCTATTCCGATAAGATTTATGTCAAATCAAACCTAATGATATCGTAGTGACTATGTATGTTTTACATACGACCATTGGTAGAAAATTAAATTCCACACCTGTATGCTGGTGAGGAGGAGAAAGTCTACTTTTACTATATCTGGAAAATTCTGCAACTAATTTCACACAATTGACCACACCCATAAAGTAAGAGGATGTTATAGCTTCGATAGTGTGCCAAAAAACTATTCGACAACTAGGAAAGATGTACTAATTTAAAAAAAACTGCAAAAATGTATACCACCCATCGAGATTTGTACTCCTAACCTCTTGAAATGGAAGATCGAACCTCAATGACCTGGAAATTTTGGCTCGTTTCAGAATTTCTAGAATTTTTACCATGCAAAAAATATGTATTTATTCCCCTTAGCAATTCTTGTTAACAAATATAAATATGTATGTGAAATTAATAACGTCAAGCCTCCTCAAATTTAAATAATGCATAATTTTTTATTAATTTCCAATGTAAGATAATTAGTTTACACTAAAGGCGGGGTTGAAAATTTATACTGGCTGCCGACCCCTGTGGCTCCTTAGACAAAGATGTCGTTCTGGGCACCTGAAAAAAATTTATGCCAACCTTGTAGATACCACTCATGCCAAATTTCTATTCGTCCAACTAACCTGGTGAGAATCCCCAATCAGCGCTGTACGACACAAAGTCATTTTGAGGAATCTCGACATTGTTTCCTTCAGCCTCTGCATTTAATATTTTACAGATAAAATATCTACCATAAACTGCTTATCAATGCATTAACTTACGCCTGGTCACAATCATCTGCTTGGCACCACCGGTACAGTCGTTGAAGTTGGGACAGTATCTTGGAGGCTGGGCTGGAGCAAGTCGTCTGGTTGATGTAGACCCAGTCACCATGCATTTGAATCCTTGCATGTACCTAACAACCCGCGAATTTTAATTACACCAAAAATAATTATGAAATTAAATGTTCACACTTCTTAACTCACATATTAGGCTCTCCGCATCCCTTAGGAACCCAAAGCCAGGCACAAGTGCACCCATCAGCAGGGCAAGGTGGAAGGTCGCGAGGAACCTGGTAGGTGGCAATACGTTTCCATGGGGTGCTGAAAACCAAAAAATTTTAATTAATATAATGTTCGACAATATTTCCAATTTTTTTCCTTACTTTGGCAGAACTGAGAAAACGACCAAGTTCTCCATCGTCACGGCAGAGATAGCGGAGTTGTAGCTAATGGCGAAAGCCGTTCCGGCAGCCATGCTCTGGTTATTGGTATGCATGGCCCCATCATCCTGGATGCAATCTGGAGGATTACCTGGACCCTTCCAGTCTTCGGGGTGCTGGTTGCCGTCGGGCCAATCTGAGACAAACTGTCCGTCGTAGGACAACGTTGTCTGGGCTCGGTTGTGAGCTAGCTCGACGGTGAAACTACCGCCGGCGGGAAGTTCAAGGAACACTCCAGGCGCAGGTGGGACTCTGTCACAGCCTCGGTCGGCTTGAAACCAATATTGGGATCTGGGCAAATTGTAGAGTGGAACTACGGCATCGTTCGTGTTGGGATTGTCTTGACCAGGATTTGGTCCCCCTTGGCAGTACATGCCACGGGCGAAAGCTGCTGTGTGAGCATTGCTACACGCAACGAGAGCCAACAGGCCCACAATGATAATCATGTTGGTAGTTACCGTAAATTTATTGTTAATGGGAAGAAAATCTTGATACTGGTAAACAGCAACGACTGGTTAATTTGGTGAAGACTTGGAGCTTAAATACTATGCAGAGGATGGGATGGGTTGCAATAATTTTATAAATAAGCAACAAAACAGTCGTGTCATCATCAATCAATCAATATCAAGATAAATAATCAGTAGCAAAAGGCATGACTCGGAATTATGTTTATTAATTGGACACTTGAGCACGAAAATGAGACGTATTATCTGGTTCAAGTTATCGCAGTGTTTCGAGTGGTGTTAGCCATTGAAAGTAACTGGTAAATACCGCCGGTGGCCAAATGGCATAAATGACGTTAAGTTGCACCAATTATTTTCCTACAAATTTTGCAAGAAACATTATAAGAACTTTATGTATCTATTTTGAATCCACGTCGGTCCTAAAAAGGATATAATTTTGTTGTACACGTCAATATCATGCTTTGTAAAGATATTTCTCGAGCTAAAGTAGTTATTTTCAATTGTCTTTTTTTCTTAAAAAATTGTAAACACAGTTAGAGCTAATTAGATTTTTGGGCATACGTTGAAATTTGGGCACTACGTTCCTTATTTGTCAAGGTTAGTGAATGTAAATGAATTATTAGAAGCAGGCTTATGCCATTAATATCACTGGCATGCGATTATGCCCAAAAAGTGACATTTTCGAAACCCTGTTAGCAAGTAAGTAGTTTAACTTTCGCATGCAAACAACAAGGCCGTGGTCAATTTTGCACCCAGCTAAACAAATTACCTGATTTAATTGCAACATCAGAATGGAATTTGATAGGCGACACTTTATCAAATTATTAATTAACTCCGTAATGGAATTTTTCATCATGTGATGAGCACGTTGAGATATTCTATGACAATATAAAAAATATTAGGTTGTCATCCTGCTAATAATTCAGAGTCTCTGTCATACTTGGTTTTTAGTTTGAGACTCGAACGTTGAGTCAGGACTTATGTACTTAACTTGAATGTTCGCTTATCTGTTTTTGTACACGATACCCACCCATACGAGGTACAAACCCCCAGTACAGCTTCATATAACCCGAGTCAAGGTGCATACACATGTTACTATACAAGTGATACCAATGTCTCAAAGGTATACCGAAATTTTCGGGAATATTTAAGGCTTGTTAGATTTCGACTAGCTTCTTACAGTGAAGTTATTTTGAAAAATGTCTAATTTAAGGCGGACTTTAAAATTGTCCCTTGATTCTCCAGTGCCAAATTTATTTTTAAATTGTGAAATTCATTGTTTTTCCCAAGTGCATTGTACTACCACATCGTGCCAGTCCAGACCACGGAAAGACCAACACAAATATGCATGAAATTTGTCGATATGCCGATATGCATGAAATTTAGGCAAAACATGTTTTTCGGTGTTGTCGACATGTCGCAATAAGGCGATTAAGGTTTTGACGACAAATTTTGTCGCCATGCCCTAATTTCGGCATTTTGGGGTCGATATGCATGAAATTTAGGCAAAACATGTTTTTCGGTGTTGTCGACATGTCGCAATAAGGCGATTAAGGTTTTGACGACAAATTTTGTCGCCATGCCCTAATTTCGGCATTTTGGGGTCGATATGCATGAAATTTACGCAAAACATGTTTTTCGGTGTTGTCGACATGTCGCAATAAGGCGATTAAGGTTTTGACGACAAATTTTGTCGCCATGCCCTAATTTCGGCATTTTGGGGTCGATATGCATGAAATTTACGCAAAACATGTTTTTCGGTGTTGTCGACATGTCGCAATAAGGCGATTAAGGTTTTGACGACAAATTTTGTCGCCATGCCCTAATTTCGGCATTTTGGGGTCGATATGCATGAAATTTAGGCAAAACATGTTTTTCGGTGTTGTCGACATGTCGCAATAAGGCGATTAAGGTTTTGACGACAAATTTTGTCGCCATGCCCTAATTTCGGCATTTTGGGGTCGATATGCATGAAATTTACGCAAAACATGTTTTTCGGTGTTGTCGACATGTCGCAATAAGGCGATTAAGGTTTTGACGACAAATTTTGTCGCCATGCCCTAATTTCGGCATTTTGGGGTCGATATGCATGAAATTTACGCAAAACATGTTTTTCGGTGTTGTCGACATGTCGCAATAAGGCGATTAAGGTTTTGACGACAAATTTTGTCGCCATGCCCTAATTTCGGCATTTTGGGGTCGATATGCATGAAATTTACGCAAAACATGTTTTTCGGTGTTGTCGACATGTCGCAATAAGGCGATTAAGGTTTTGACGACAAATTTTGTCGCCATGCCCTAATTTCGGCATTTTGGGGTCGATATGCATGAAATTTAGGCAAAACATGTTTTTCGGTGTTGTCGACATGTCGCAATAAGGCGATTAAGGTTTTGACGACAAATTTTGTCGCCATGCCCTAATTTCGGCATTTTGGGGTCGATATGCATGAAATTTACGCAAAACATGTTTTTCGGTGTTGTCGACATGTCGCAATAAGGCGATTAAGGTTTTGACGACAAATTTTGTCGCCATGCCCTAATTTCGGCATTTTGGGGTCGATATGCATGAAATTTACGCAAAACATGTTTTTCGGTGTTGTCGACATGTCGCAATAAGGCGATTAAGGTTTTGACGACAAATTTTGTCGCCATGCCCTAATTTCGGCATTTTGGGGTCGATATGCATGAAATTTACGCAAAACATGTTTTTCGGTGTTGTCGACATGTCGCAATAAGGCGATTAAGGTTTTGACGACAAATTTTGTCGCCATGCCCTAATTTCGGCATTTTGGGGTCGATATGCATGAAATTTACGCAAAACATGTTTTTCGGTGTTGTCGACATGTCGCAATAAGGCGATTAAGGTTTTGACGACAAATTTTGTCGCCATGCCCTAATTTCGGCATTTTGGGGTCGATATGCATGAAATTTACGCAAAACATGTTTTTCGGTGTTGTCGACATGTCGCAATAAGGCGATTAAGGTTTTGACGACAAATTTTGTCGCCATGCCCTAATTTCGGCATTTTGGGGTCGATATGCATGAAATTTACGCAAAACATGTTTTTCGGTGTTGTCGACATGTCGCAATAAGGCGATTAAGGTTTTGACGACAAATTTTGTCGCCATGCCCTAATTTCGGCATTTTGGGGTCGATATGCATGAAATTTACGCAAAACATGTTTTTCGGTGTTGTCGACATGTCGCAATAAGGCGATTAAGGTTTTGACGACAAATTTTGTCGCCATGCCCTAATTTCGGCATTTTGGGGTCGATATGCATGAAATTTACGCAAAACATGTTTTTCGGTGTTGTCGACATGTCGCAATAAGGCGATTAAGGTTTTGACGACAAATTTTGTCGCCATGCCCTAATTTCGGCATTTTGGGGTCGATATGCATGAAATTTACGCAAAACATGTTTTTCGGTGTTGTCGACATGTCGCAATATGGCGATTAAGGTTTTGACGACAAATTTTGTCGCTATGCCCTAATTTCGGCATTTTGGGGTCGATATGCATGAAATTTACGCAAAACATGTTTTTCGGTGTTGTCGACATGTCGCAATATGGCGATTAAGGTTTCGACGACAAATTTTGTCCGCAGTCACTCAATTAATTAATTAATCAATCATTAATCAATTAATTAATCAATCAGTCAGTCAATTAATTAATTAATTAATTAATTAATTACTTTAATTAATTTATTTAATTATTTAATTTAATTAATTTGAGCTTTATAGCGCAAATTGATTCTCAGCATTCTCAGCATTATTGCGCTACTTATGTATCGTGCTTTGCCGCACTTTATTTAATGTTGGATTATATAGTTTCATATCGGCAAGATTAAATTCAAAACGATACTTGCTTGATAATTTTATTACAATTTACTGTTGGTGAGGCACTAACCAGTGCGTTTACTGACACCCTGCCTGGTGCGATAATTCTATAACGTTACACAAAAAAATTTTATTTTTTAAAGTAAAGATTTATATTTATGGATAACCATACAACAACAAATTTTGACCTTCGACGCCTGTGACCTGAGGTCATGGAAAAGCCGGGTCTCCAACAATCCCGATTATATGATACACTGTTGGAAGGCTCTTGACATAAGCTTCAAAAAAGTACTTTACACCATGGGTCTGTGACATATCCTTTACCTTTGGAGTCCATTTGCAACAGGAAACACACCAAGCCAGGGGTGTGGTTCCTGCTCCGATTAACAGAATTTGAGTTAGGGAATAATGTAGGTTCATGTTTAATTAATTTATATTCAAAATTTCATCGAAATCGCTCAAATACAGATAAAAGCGCTGGGCGGCGAAACTTTACAACATTCTTTCGACCTATGCATAATTCTAGCCAGAGCGCAGGCCAGATCATAAGCGGATTGGGTTGGAAGAAGAGAGCGTTGAATAAATTGATAACTTAAGATATTATTGTCGGAACATTATAAATTTTGAATTTCAAATACTCCGCAATTTCTGAACCGATTGTAAACATTTATGTACTGCTGAAGAACTATTGGTCAGTTGTGAATAAAAAAAAATTAAAATCGGTTGAAAAATGTCAGAGTATTTGAGATTCAAAATTTATAAAGTGAACCAACATTTGCCTTAATTTGAATACACAGACCATAGTACTACTACAAATACTAGCGATAATTAATATTATTGAGATTAGGCGCCGTTCATAAATTATGTAACGCGTTACGGCCTATCACACCATGCTATACTAAACATTGCGGGATAGGCGTAACGCGTTACATAATTTATGAACGGCGCCTTAGGTATAGGCACACAGAAACAAATTGACGTTTTAATGAGCTTAACCATTTCCAAAGTTCGTAAATGACATTTTATTTAAGATTGTTCGTAACAAATGTAGAATATTATTTTTTATACTTCGTAAATATAATTATTCTCATATTAATGGAAACCCTGTCACTACAAAAAGTGACACCCACTTAAGTCTTGATCCCTTAACCAGGCAGAATTAATTCTTTGAGAATTCAATGCTTTTCGAATATTCTGTAAATTGCTCTGAGAAATCGTTGCCCCTCTGGAGAATATCCACAAGAACTCTGGAAATATACACATAGATCAAAATAAGTTCAAACTATTAAGTAAAACTAATTTTAAGAAACATACGGAAGTTCGAAATCCCAAAGTCATAACAGGTCCATTCTACCGCGTAGGAGGAATAATCCGTTGCTAACACGATGTAATTTATTGTAAGCGTTACTGAAAACCAGAAAATCAATTTGTATCAAAATTTGTCTAGCTTGGGTGCTCGTCCTGGGAAGTTGATCACTTGGTGTTTTGGTAACGGGATGGTGAAGAAATAGTCTTAGGAATTCTAACTTTTTGTATAATATTATAAATATATCTAACTACATATCCTGAAAATTTCATTGGTTTTCAATGGAAAACAAATTTCCTACACAATTTCAAAGAAGAACTCGCGAAAAGAGTTTTGCGTAAGTACGAGAATTTTTTTCTCAAAGTTGATGAGAATGCCTGACTACATTTCAATGAAGAAGGGTGTGGCCGTGCAAACATTGAGACATACATAAAAAAGTATGGCGAATCCGAAAATGCCAATCTCAAGAAAGCATCATGATCAGAAAACATCATTTCGGCCAAACGAAAATTAAAAACGATCGAATATTTTTTTAAAAAGTATCCCTCCACGTCCGTCCCTGGTGCGGCCAAGAAATTTAAGATAAATACAAACTATTTATATCATATTAAGGCAGATATATTGGGGGTCAAAGAGTATGCAAAAAGCATACAGAAATTCAACATAAAATGGTAAACGCAACATTTCCCAATCTTCACAACAAAACTTGACCAACAAAATTGATCATTGCCGACGAGTCCTACGCCCATAAAAACACGATAGAAACCCCAGGAAGGCAATTTTCCAATGCCGAAAATCCTTCTCAAGTGAAGACAGAAGTAAAAATATAATCTTCTTTAAAATTTCTATAGAAATATCGCGTTTAGTTACCATTGGATCATATGGGAATTTGATGTGAAAATACGAAAACTACCCGAGTTTCCCTCATCTTCGCCCGATCGAATGATTTTGAGCTCTATGCAAGAAGATACACTCCCAGTTTTAGGAAAAAGTTGATACTTTTTAAAAAATTCGGTTATCGTAGAAGAAAATTAGCAACAAAGTTGAAAATCCTTCCGGAAAAACACAAATGGCGGAGGTGAATAAAAAACTTAAATACGAGATGGACGATGGATTTAAATCTTATTTGCTGGCGGATATGAAATGCTAGATCTGTTTGTAATATTCTTCAAAAATTTGCGATTTTTAGAATCGTTTTATGACCACTTGTAGGCCAAAATACCAAGTGATCAACTTCCCAGGACGAGCACCCTATTTAAAAGTAAGATTGATGCACGGATATGTAATGCGTAAGTTATATACCTCCCGCCGGAGAATTAATTCCAATATTTGGCAAATTTCCTGAAAAGAGGTGATTATCCGACGTAAAAACGGCAGAGCCATCAGTACTAAAGAATTTTACAGTGCCAGGAACTGATATTATATTTCCGGTCCTGAAAATTAGAATTGTTGAATATTCTATTTTTTAATAACAAATTTTTTATCAAAAGTCTACTTACATTCGTTCCGTCATTCTTGTTACACCATCCCAAGTCCCATCCGCACGTGGTGGGTAATATTCTCCAAGTTGACAGGAGAAGAATAATTGCACGGTGGACGCATAGGTTTGATAGAGATACCAGGTTCCAGAATACTGGACCAATTGAGGACACATTTATTACTTTGACTTTTGAAATGAAAATTAGACATTATTCGTACCCTCGTAATATTGATGTTTGGCAGGGGCGTTGGTGTTGGACAAGGGCCAGGGAAAAATAGTTGAGATTTCACATCAACGAAGAATACTAGGAAAATGTAAAGTAATTTTGCGTTTTTAAAAAAATACGTCATTTTATAGCGTATTCGTACAGTGGGAGAAATAGGCGAGTGAGCTTTTAATTTCAAGAAATGAGCGGAACCCAATCCTCTCATGAACCAAGAATAAGATGCAATGACCCTAAAACTTTCTGAGAAGGGTCGACAGCATAGAAATTTACAATAGTCGAGTATAAATTTAGAATTCGCAGAAAAGCAGAATCCTATACACCCTTTTTGCTCTACATTTACAATGGTCTGAATGTACAAGGTGTAATGAATTATCCCTGCAATGTTAAATATTCGGCTGAAATGAATTTTTCTAAGAATTTCTTTTTTACAAGCAAAACAAGAGAATCAGTGTTGCGAAGGTTTTGGACGGGAAATATACAACTCTGAAGAGAATACTGTAAAGGAACTTGTTTCAAAATCCCTCAACCAAAAAAAACCTTAAATCAACCCGAAAACTCATCAAAGTTCGATAGAATCAGTAAAATTTTATACAATAGACTGAAAACCCGGTGGAATTAATAGGCCAAATCGTACAACTGAAATTGTCATCGGATCAAATTAAAGTTGTAACAATTATTTATTATCTTTCCTGTTTTACCGTAAATTTTACTCAAATCACACACGTTTTCTCGCTGAGGGATAGGCACGTACCAAATTGTATCTGAGTCAGTACCTTTAGCTTACAGAATTACATCATCTGCATAGTATTTTATGAAAAATAAATTCAGCCAAGTTGTGAGCATTTAAACTGGAAAACACGCCCAAAAATGGATGCTTCCCTGAGACGTCCCAACCGACGTATCATAATTTTAATATCGCTATGAATACTAAATACACGATAAATATTTCCTAAGTATTTCCCCTAAATTGCATTCATACCAAGGCTCAACCTCAAGATCTTCCATTTGTTTCAAGATCAAAATATTCTTATCTAAAATGTTAAAAGCTTGAGGAAAATCATACATTTTTGCTATTGCTACTACCTTTTTTTGAGGATTATTAACGGATTCGCACAAATACAAAACCTAACCTAACCACTCAGATATCCCGATTTGGACAAAACGGTCGAGAAACTGGCAAACTCCCATGCATAAAAATTGACCCACGTCTTCAACAGAACAACCAAAAATAGTTTTCTATATGCAAAATGGCCGATTTGAACGGAGAAGATCCAAATTTGTCGTCACATTTAACTATGGACTTTTCTTCTTTCAGTAGAATTACTGGACACAAAAGCTAAGGTGTCCAGCACAAAGGACAGGAGACGAGCATCAATCTGAATGAATAAAAAACAAAAAAGTTTTTCGGTCGGTTCTTTGTGGTGGGTACATTGGGGGGCCACTAGGGTGTAACCACTGATATCTGTGACACCAAATTCAAAACATAGTTTCGCCCACTTCGTTGGCAATATTCTGCACGGAGTTTTAGATTTTTAAATTCAAAACTTTTAGCCGGACAAAGTTAACATCCTTCACCACGAGACTTATTAACATAGCACCAAGTTGGCCCCACCGTACCCCCAAAATATTATATCTAGATTCGAAATAAGACTGGTAACTCGTTCTGTGATTAATATCGGATCATATTTCATAATCTAGTGTAAAAATATCAAAAAATGGTGCATATGAAAAGTAAACCTTGACTATTTCTTGCTCTCCGGAAACTAGTAACTCAAATCTGCAATCTTGTGGCCCTTGAAATTTGTCAAAAACTGTTGGAGAGCTGAAAACCAAGATATATTTCGACTAGTTTCTAGGAAGACTAGACAACATATAAGCACAAAAAACACTATATGCTATCATCACGTTCGGAAGTTAAGAAGTAATTCATGCTTTCTACAAAATATGTAAACACCCTTCTGTAATCCATAGTCCCCAAACAAGAATTATATATATTTACTGAACCCCAAAAATCTTGCAAAAACATCAGATTGTGGAATAAAGGCTAATCCGCTAAGCCCTTGAACTGCATTTCTGAGTTTTTTATCTTGTGCATATTCTACTTTCTGCCCCTCCGCAACGGTATGCTTGGGAATACTTTAGTCTAACAAGGGAAGGTCCCCGACTGCTTATCGTGTCCAGGGTACCCACTATGTTTTTTAGAATCTACTAGGACCCTAGACGAAGGATCCATTCATGTTTCCGTGTTAATCGCATATTTGGCGCCATGGCGTGGCGCCAAACTTAAAAATCTGCGTTTTCGACCAATTTCAAACCTCCATAACTTCTCTAGTTTCCGGGGGATTTTCAAAATTTTGGGGTTAAAATGACCACAAAGGTCAAAATTTTAAGAAATAAATAAAAAACGAAATATTTTTATTTTTTGGTATTTTTCGGCGAATCCCCAAGCGTAAGAAAATTCCAAAATTTTGACAAAAATTCAAACAATAAATTTTTTGAAAAATTTCATGGCATACGAAGGTTGAACTCTTTTTAATGATTTTTGGAAATTTTTTTGAAAATCCGCCCAGGATTTCAAAAGTTATGGCGGTTTCAAAAATAAATACATACAAATTTGGCGAATTTGGCGCCACGCTATGGCGCCAAATATGCGATTAACACGGAAATATGAATGGATCCTTCGTCTGGGGTCCTAGTAGATTTAAAAAGACATAGTGGGTACCCTGGACACGATAAGCAGTCGGGGACCTTCCCTTGTAAGTGGAATAAGCACCCCCTAACGCAGCTGGAAATTCGCCACGAAAGGCTTTTATAAGTCCTAATTCGAAATCGCTAATAATATATTATTTCGGGCTTATCACTTTCCTTTTGCATTAGAGATCCGATAAAAAACAATGCGGTAAAAATCTTTTGATTTTCCTGGGAGAAAAGCGTAGACGCAAGGAAACCCGGTTTCCGTATATACTCCGTGTATCGTAAAGATTTGAGTAAAAAAAAACTGGTGATAATTTAAAACTCCCATCAACAAGCCTGGGATTACACATCGAAAGATTCTTAAAGTTAAAATTCGGTGATTATGTGATAAGGTAATTATGTAAAAATTAAGTTATGCATAATCCGCCTCTGTGCAACATGGACCTATGTGTTTTGATCATTATGTAAAAAAAGTTATGCATTATCACTTACTATTAATAAGCATATTTAATAAATAAACAAATGATTTATTTTTCCTTAAAGATTTGTCAAATAAAGTTGTTGGTTAAGTACGCAAGCACACAACTGAACTTTTCCTTTCACATCACCGATGAAGTTGTTCGTACGTACGTGTTGTTTGTCAAAATTTTGACGCTTAAAACTGACAAAATGAATAAACAAAGCAAAATAATGTACAAACGATAACTTAGTTGATGCGGGAAACCATCCTCATTCTTCGATGCAAATAGCGATCTCATTCTTTCAATGGTTTGAGGAGCATGTGCATAAACAGCTGTCCCAAGTATCGAGGTAAGCATGCATAAGCCTAACTAAACAACTTTATGACGGATACGTAAGTATTTACATCGAAAGAGTAGAAATTAAACAGCAAAATATTTAACTTTTCTAAAAAACAATGCACTATTCTGACGTGAGAAACTTTGAATAATCTCGATGTCTCATCTCCCTCAAAATATCGATATTTATACCGTTCCCCCGCCTTCTCCGGTTTTCACCTCCTGCCAATAGCACCACACGACGAAGGCGCAGTACATGTCGAGGAATATGTTGAGCGCACTCACAATCAGGCTGGAAACCCCGCCCGACCTGACGTGGATACAATCGTGGACAAATTTCACGAACAGCATGACAATTACGATGCACCTCAGAAAGAACCAGATGAACAGGACGTGTCGTTTTTTCTGTAAAATATGCAAATTGTTAAAAACCTGGACAGGCGTTGATTTCTCGGTATGTAAACTTGCTACCGCTTGTTATTAAAAGTATACCTGTGCGGTGTGTAAAAAATTTGGGTAAACGTTAATACTGACACTAACACTGACCTATTTATTATGACATGCTATTACTTATCAATACCACTTTGGTAATGTCACTTACATAAAAATAGCGTTTGATATAATGTTTGTATAATGATGTACATTTTGGCAAGCAATGTACAACCATCTATGGAAAGCAGCTTTTAACACTTCTAATTAAAAATAATCGACATGTATTCACTTATCCGAGATTATAAAGGTTCCAGTGCGTAAACATTTAATAGGTAGGATTGCCAGTTCATACGGATTTATTTTATCACCCGAGATATGAAACAAAGCTTTGCTAAAATCGAAAATCTGATAATTTTTGTTACAAACCTAACGGCTATTTCTTAGAAATCCATTTAAGAGCTACTTTCGGATTAATATGACACCACCAAAACAATATTAGGAGACGTTTTCCATGCAGGCAACTTGTATATTATTTATGAGACATTCTACCAGTATTTAGGAGACGCATTAATTGCATACCTAATTTTAGTACTCAATTTCTAAAAGTTAGAATTTAAAGACATTTATCGAATTTAGCGAAAAATATCTGCAATTTTTTTCTTCCATTTACCTTTCTAGCCGCTTGGAAAAGCAGAATGGCCAAAATCAGCCCTACTCCCGCAACGCCAATCACAATCGACCAAACAATACGTTCCACATCGGCTGAAAATAATAATTTGCATAAGTATACAAACATACAATTTCCCATTAATTAACCAAATCTATTTACTTACGGTCTAATAAGTCGTCCTTCTCGTCATACTCTTTGCCTCTGAGTTCCATAACGTTTCCGCTGCCCGTCAAACCAAGAATTCCCGTCACCAGGGAGAAAGTACAGCTGAGCTGGGATAACAATTGTGAAAATATGTAAATAAAATATTTCAATTTGGTCAACAAAATATTAATGCATAATTTATTTACCATTTGAACAAACGCAATAATTTTGCACGCCATCTGCATAGAGATCCCACAGTAGCACGGGTTAAGAGCCATGTCGTCGTGGGGTTGTGATGTCGACCTCTAACTTGCGGTCATTCCCGTTTTAGGCTTAGAAATATTTAGTAGAACAACTTAAATTAATGTAAAATACTTCACTGTCATTACCCACTTCTGAGGAATTGTTGCATGTTATAAAACGCTGGAAGACTTGTGCATGAAAAAATTAAAAAGCTTACATGTTAAATTGTTAGAAAACCAATGTGTCTAGTAAACAGGATGTTTGCCCCGGTGAAAATTTTGTTTGGTCGGGTGGATTAGTAAATCGATTTAATCATGCCTTTATTGTTCCCATGTGTATTGATTGGTTAATTGGTGACACGGGGACAATGATTGTCTCCCATTAAAACTTATGTATCTGTAAAGAGAAAAATTGCTTCAATAAGTTACGAAAGTAATGGATTTTAAAGAAGAAAGAGTGTGCATGTTTGAATTATAATTCATATGTACCCACTTGATCAAGTTTAGTATGGAATGGCATGGTACATATGTAATCTTTTCATTGCATCAATTTCTTCATATTGGCAGCAAAATATTCACCGTAATAACCACATGCAATTAAAGGACCTGGCCTTCATCTATACATACCTCAAATCTTCATTCAACATTTTTTCAAGGATGAATATTTTTGATCCTACCCACATCTATAAATAGGCCCTTTCAAAAATATGGTTGGATCAAATCATCCTAAGCATTACAGTAAGCAAAAATTTAAATCCTACCCTGCACTGTGATGACACAAACCAAGGATTTTCTGTTTGTTGGAAATCAATTTTTATTATGCATTACATGAATTTCATAGGAAATTTAACGTAGATTTCGAAAATAATGCGCATTTTTTATTTTTCGTTACCAATAATGAACAATTAATTGAAAAGTGGAGGCAAATGTAAAATCAACGCAAAAAAATAAATCGTACCCCTATGGGTTTTCGAACATCTAATTCTTCCGAAAACTCAAAAACAATTATTATCGGTCGAGTTTCGGTTTATTTATGATTTATAATATTTCCATATAAAAATTGTCAAATTTTTATACTTTGATGCCTTTTGGCATCGTGCACAATGGGAGTAAACCAGTTAACAGTTTAACACCGAAAAATGGCCACTGTTCTGCATAATGAAGGTATCGGGTGCTCTAAAATTGCACTAAAATCTAAGTTTCCGATGTCCACCATCCAGCACATTGTCAAAAAATGGAAGAAAACTGAATCCGACGCTAATTTCCACGGACGCAGACACGATAGGGTAATAATCAAACGAATGGAGCATAGGATAATCGGCAAAATCTTGAGCACGGAGGGCTTTCGGACCCGAAAATTGCATCTGATCTGCAATTACGGTCCAACATATAAGTTTCCCCTCAGACCATCAAAATCGGATTGGAGAAAAGAGGTTTAAAGGCCCAAGTACGCGTAAAATGCCATTCATATCTAAGGCAAATATGACATAGCACCTTAAATCGGCCATGGACCACAGCGGATGGATTTTAAATGACCGGAAACGTGTCATTTGGACAGACGGAAGCATGTATAACCTATTTTGGTCGGTTGGAATCGTATAGGTATGGAGGAAACCGGAAGAAGCCTACATGTCCCAGGGTATGCGGAAGACCGTGAAGCATGCTGAAGGAATTGTAACGGTTTGGGCCTCGAAGGGGTGGAATGAAGTTGAAACTTTGCATTTTTTTGAGTCAGTCATGACCAGTGAAGTGCACCACGCAATTTTGGAGGAAAACCTGGTCAATCAGCGAGAAAATTGCGACTCAAGATAACCTTCATTTTCTCAAAAGATGGGGGCCCCAAGCCTGGCGCCCAAATTATCAAACGGTACCTTGAGGAAAATTAATTAAATGTTCTCCCATGGGTTGCTCAATCTCCTGGTGTCAGTACCATCGAACATTTATGGGTAGAATTGGAGAGACGGATTTCCAGCCGAAAACCTAAGTCGAAATATGAGTTGAACGCCATCTTAAGTGACTCATGGGAGAATATCTCACCGGAAGTGCCCATAAATTTAGTGGAATCCATGTCACGGTATATCCAGACTGTAACTGAAGCAAAAGGAGGCTGTTGGAAGTAATAATTAATTCGTAGACAAAAATATTATTTAAAATCCATAGGGGTACGATTTATTTTTTTGCGTTGATTTTAGACTTGTCTCCACTTTTAAATTAATTGTGCATTATTGGTAATGAAAAATGAAAAACGCGCACCATTTTCGGAATCTAGGTTAAATTTCCTATAAAATTCAAGGAATGTATAACCAAAGTTGATTTCCAATAAGCAGAAAATCCTTGGTTTGTGTCATCAAAGTGCAGGGTACGATTTAAATTTTTGCTTACTGTAGTTCTGCTAAATATTCCCCTTTATTTCCAAATTGTCCTGTTGTGTTTAATTTTGAATTTCCAGAGTTCCACGCGTTAGAAACTCCTGATATTAATCTACATAACACAACCATCTATGGTGTCTCTAATACGGCGGGAATAATGCCAGCGCTACTTGAATGAAATTTTGTAGAAAATTTCAAAGCTCAATGGATTCTCAGGATTTAGGTTCGAGGAATCAATTTTGAATTTCCAGAGTTCCACGCCTTAGAAACTCCTGATATTAATCCACCCGAAACACCCATGTATGCTGGTCATAAATCGGCGGGAATCCCGCCAGCGCCTCTTAATTCAAATTTTGTGGAAAATTTCAAAACTTAATGAATTCTCAGGATTCAGGTTCGAGGAATTAATTTTGAATTTCCAGAGTTCCACGCGCTAGAAACTCCTGATATTAATCCACCCGAAACACCCATCTATGCTGGTCATAAATCGGCGGGAATCCCGCCAGCGCCTCTTAATTCAAATTTTGTGGAAAATTTCAAAACTTAATGAATTCTCAGGATTCAGGTTCGAGGAATTAATTTTGAATTTCCAGAGTTCCACGCGCTAGAAACACCTGATATTAATCCACCCGAAACACCCATCAATGGTAGTCACAAATCGGCGGGAATTCCGCCGGCGCCTCTTAATTCAAATTTTGTAGAAAATTTCAAACTGAATGAATTCTTACGATTCGGGTTCGATGAATCAATTTTGAATTTCCAAAGTTCCACGCGCTAGAAACTCCTGATATTCATCCACCCGACACACCGATCTATGCTGGTCACAAACCGGCGGGAATTCCGCCAGCGCCTCTTAATTCAAATTTTGTAGAAAATTTCAAACTTAATGGATTCTTACAATTCAGGTTCGAGGAATCAATTTTGAATTTCCAGAGTTCCACGCGATAGAAACTCGTGATATTAATCCACCTACACACCCATCTATGCTGGTCATAAATCGGCGGGAATCCTACCAGCGCCTCCTGATTCAAGTGTTGTTGTAAATTTGAAAAGTTTGTGAATTCTCAGGATCTTAATGGATAAGTTTTAAATTGTCAGATGTCCATGTATTGAATACTGATCAGATTAATCCAGTTAAAGCACTCCTTGTGTCTTTGCATTTTGGACTTGGTTATGAAACGGCGTGTTATTCGCGGCGGGTGCTTCTTTTATGGATGTCCAAATTAATTATGGATTTCACCTCATTGAGATTTTGACTTGTAAAGCCTGCAATCCATAGGATGATGCTATGTGGGAAGGACCAAAGGAAGCTCGAAACTTACGGTTTACACCGTCATCACGACTTTAAGAAAAATACAGTCTTGCATTTCCATCGAGTTTCTGAAGTATGGGGACAACCAGTCATCTCCACTTCGTAATAACTTCCAAGACGTAAAGATACAAACGATGTTCTCCAGTTTCCCTAGAGTGGAAGGGTTCCGCAGCCTGTGTGGGCCCACACGGCGAAAATCTCATTTTACCCCAACACGGAGACATGTGGGGAACCCCACAGACGTATAAACATGATGCATTACACTTTCACGATGATTTGGCCAAAACTCTCATATTACCCCAACAGGGAGACATGAAGGCAGCCCCACAGATGAATAAATTTAAAGCATTACACTTTGGCGATGATTGGGCCAAAAATCTCATTATACCCCAAGAGAGTGGGTGTGGTTGCGTGTGGGTGTGCCCAGACATCATTTAAACGTGTTGCCTTACACTTTGGGGATGATTTAGACGAAAATCTCACTTTACCCCGATCAGTGGGTGTGGTCGTATATTTGTCTCACGTTACCCCATTGGGGGTGTGCCCGGCACACCCCCAACAACTCTTACACAACATTCCTTTAGGCAATAGGGGTTGACGGAAGTTGGGCGGCTGGCGGCCAGCGGCGCGGCGGCGGTCGGGTAGATGTGCATTCTGGGCTGGGCTATCTTCCTATACATATTACGCTGACCGGATAGCACCCCACTCATCTAGTACTTTACTTTTTTGCACCTAAGTACACCCAAAAACCGTATAGCAGTGATCACGCAGTCCACGAAAGCACAACTTGGAATATAGATCAAAGTGTCTAAGTGAGTATGAGAAAAATGCAGTCCGGTAAGAACTTCTTTCCTTTCACTTTGTGATTTAAAACTAATTAGGTAGCCTAGTCCAGAACGAAACAAGTAAATTTCAAAAACGAATATTTAACTATAGAGAAAGCAGTTCCTCTCATCATTGCCGGTTTACTTGTTGCTGTCGGATGCATAAATACTGCGGAAAGCATGGCGGTGGGCCCAATCATCCGAGGGATAGCGGGTAGGCAATCGTGGACTGGAGTGATGGACTTCATCTCGAGTATCAGGGCAGCATTCGGGAAATCCAGGAATTCTCAGACAAACAGGGATTTGACGATACACAGAAAGGGTTACTCCAATACACTGTAGTAAATGCGTACCAGTTAGATGAATTAACAAAGAGCATATACAGACTAGTACAGATCATGCATGAAACTAAAAATGAAGAGAACAAGTCTGACGAACAAAATTACTGGATCTTTGCTGGGATCCTGGGTGTCATGATAATTAACTTGGTTATGGTAATTGCAATCAACATGCGTAAAAACGAGCAAAATATTAACATGATTCGAACGTAATCATGTGAAGCTGTATCGACCTTATACTTATAATAGAACAATTTGTGAAACTTTTAGCAGTTATGAGCTAACACAACTAATCATTAATAATACTGAGAATCATATAATAATAATTATAATTATTTAGTGGTTAAGACAATCATTACTACTACTTTAATTACGCTATTTGAAGTATGTAACTCTATGGGTTGAAAAACCCGAAAGGGTGATGAAACAATAAATCTATCTATCTATCTAATAAAGAACAAAGTTTACTGTGGATTTAGTCTACTTAATTTAGAATTTAGGTGCGGTTACTTTTCAAAAGGGTAACTTTATTTTTAACGGTTTACGCTTTCAAA